TGTCTGTGAGGATGTTTCTGGAAGATATTAGCTTTTGAATCAGGAGACTGATTCATAGATCAGTCTATGAATCAATAGATCAAAAGATCTATTCTCACCACTATGGGCATTCATGGAGGGCTCAGCCAGAATAAGAAGACAGGGAAAGGCAATATCTACCTATCTATCTATCTATATATCTATCTTTCTCTCCCTCCCTCCCTCCCTTCAGCTAGAACTCCATCTCCTCCTTCTCCTTGGACATTGGAGCTCCTGGTTCCTCAAGCCTTCAGACATGAGAGCTTATACCAGCAGCTCTCCCTAGTTACTCAGGACTTTGGCATCAAACTAGGAGTTTGGCATCAAACTGCTTCTTTCTCAAGCCTTCAGACTTGGACTGAGTTCCACCCCCAGCTCTCCTGGCTCAGCAGCTTGTAGACAACATATTGTGAGACTCCTCAGCCTCCATAATCACATGAGCCAATTCCCATAATAAATCTCCTCTTATACGTCTATATATTTCCTATTGGTTCTGTTTCTCTGAAAAACCCTGACTAATACCTCATCTAATCATTTACCCAACAAACCTTTTCTATCCCTGGGCAATATTTTAGGCACTAGGGGTACAAAAATAAAGACACAAACATCTGCACTCCATAAACTTACATTCTGTATCAGAGAAATTGGCACAAAATGAAAACAAAATAACAAGAGACATGCCCAACAATAAAAATTGCAAAATGATGGCAATTCTATCACCAGCTAAGTGTGTGACCTCAGGCAAATCATTTACAATGTGAGCTAAGTATTCATAAGTACATAATGCAAATTTTTAGGCACTCTAAAAATTTGAATTTGACCATTGTATGGTTTCCTTTGCTAATGGGTGGCACCTCCCTGTTAGTAAGTGCCAATATATTTTCAAAAGATCCATTATTGATGCTAATTAATTCTAGGAAAATCAAGTAAACAGCAGCAAAAGAAAGGTACAAACCAGCAGCTGAAATTAATAATTAGAAAATAAGGAAAAAATGAATTATTAAGTGCTTCATCAGCACCACAAGATAAATAAATCAGTGAAATTCAAGGCAGGGAAATGCAGAGTAAGCCTACCAGGGAAGCAGTGGCCCAGTAGGCATGACATGTTCTCCTCTGGACTCCCATATTCTATCTCTAGAGATAGAAAATGTGCATGTGCAAGTCAGCCTTCCCTCTATGATGTGCTTTTGCTCCTTTCTGTCCCTTGCACTGGTGCCTAGCACACGGAAAGCATTTGGTAAGTGCATAAAAGAGGCAATCAGTCATTAGCATCAAGAATTTTTAATTTATTTAATTATGTAGTGCTGGGGATTGGACCCAGAGCCACCTACACGCTGAGCCATGCTCTCCCACTGAGCTATAAAACCAATCTCTATCATCAAAAATTTACTGAGGATTTATACATGATACATCTAGAACCACAAATGGAATACTTGTATGGTTCCTATCATCAAATAAAATCAAGGAAAAACTTAAGACTCAAACTGTAAGCCATGATTTATTTTTAGATAGTGGTCATTATCAAAGAAAAACAACACAATTACCAAAAAGTCATTTCAAAGCAACAAATTATCTTTTGGCATTTCTCAAACACCATGAAAGGGACTCTCAGTTCACAGCAACAATCCATAAAGCCCTGTCCTTCCATGTGGGTTACATCACACAAGGCTTTCAAGTTCCTCTCCCCTTCACACCCTCCCATCAGAACTCCTCTCCTAAGTCCAGCCCTCAAGCCTCAATCTTTCCAATCCTTGACCTCTCCCCTGTTTTCTGTATCACAAAAGCCCAAAAGAACTGGTCTGGCAAGATCAAATGTTGCTTGAAACGGAGGGAAGAAAATAAATAAGCAAAAACCAGAACCAGTCTTTGTAAGGAAGAAAAGATGACCACCACAAAACTGTCATATGTTACAAATGTTGGGTGATCTCCTTCAAGCTTAAAGTTACCAAAATAAATATAAAAATAGTACAAAAAAAGTATTCACATTTGTTAAACATCTACAATGGTTGGGGGACTTGTGGCACTCAATCACAAAATACTTATTGGACACTTACTCTAAGAACTGTTTGAGAGAGGATATGATGTCACACATACTCCCCAAGTGCATACCTACATTTGAATATTCTCAGGAAGGACTCACCCTTAACTGTACTGACATTTAAGATTTCTAGTTGAGATGTATTAATGAGACATGGCCAGATCATAAGGGGAAAGGGCACAGGCTGAGTCTGAAGGATCCCATGTGTATACTTCATTTTGTTCTTCCTTCTGTCCCATGAAGGGCCACGTGGAGTACACTAACCCCAGCCACAAAAAAAAAAAAAAAAAAAATGCAGCAACTTGTACATGATGTTCCTGCTCAGGGAAGCCCTTCAGAGACTCAGTGCTGAAGGTTTTTAAGTGGGGACAGTCACCTTGCACCTTCAACCTAGCATTTGAAACAATTCCAGACTTCCAAAAGGAAAGCAGTATTCAAGCATATACTCTGTTACTTTCACAAAAGTCAAGGCACATGAACTACAATTACCAGTTAACTGGATGAAGAGCACTATTGGGAGCCAAGTTTCTATCACTAGCAAAGGCCCAGTGTTGCAAAGCAGGCCTTTCTAAGGGTAACAGACATAGGCCTGCTATGTTTACTCAGTTCCGCCCAGATACAAAGACCCAGTTTTTTGTCTTCAAGAAAATTCCACACACAAAAATATATGCAATACATATAGTAGCTGTAGCATGTTAGATAACACTAAAGCATATTTCCCAAATGCCCTCTAGGTCACTTTCATCAGAATCACAAGGGTGCTCTATACCTAGCAGTTACAACCCAAAGGGTCCTAAGCAGTGGGGCCTTAAGTCAGAGCCTCTGGTTAAGGTTAGATTATGGAAGACCTTGAATATCTTAATGAGAACTTTTAATTTGATATCAATAGTCTTAGGAAGCTACTAAAAACTTTCTTTTTTTTTCTTTACCAATTCATGATAATAAAATTAAAACAGCAGTGTTTGAAGATGAATCCGATTGCTTTGTGTAGAATATACTGGAAAAGGCAGAGATCAGAGGCTCTAAAGAAAACAAGAAGCTCAAAAGAAAATACTCAGACCTAATATGTAAGGACCACCAACTAGGAGTTAGACCCTGCTCAGGGTGCTTCATATGAACGCTTGTGTCAACCATCTAAAGGAGGTGCCATTGTCCCCATATTGTAGATAAATTTGCCCAGTGTTGTCCAAGTCACCCCAATAGAAAAGACAAAGGTGGTGAATTGGGGCCTGTAGCCAGGAAGAGAAAGCAATCACAGGTAACTCCTACTGGGATCTTGTCTCTTCCTCCCTTTGGGCACTTCCATCCTAAGAGACAGTCATCTTCCAAAAACAACAGAGGGTAAAAATGGAGATCTAGAAGGAGAAATTGTCAGTTTCCTAAATGAAGACGGAGAGGTGAAATAGGAGTAGGATGTTAAAGCTTCGTCCTAACCCAATGAGATAGCAAGAAGCAAAGTGCAATGTAGCATCTCAATTTAAAGGGAGGAATAGGAAACATTTCTATTTCTAAATATATGGCATTCTTTTATCTTTTCTATCTCAAAGACATTTACACCATTAAAAATCTTCCGTCTCAATTATTTCCCTCTGACATGATGCAACCCGCAAATCACTTAACAACTGAGTCTGATCACTCTTGCAACTGTAATTCCTAAGGTGTCTAAAATTAACATTCCAGAAACATCACAGTCTCATCATCAAGACACATTTATTGATCACTTGATTGCATGAAGTGGTAAGACACTGACCCCAGGGCCTGAGAGGACTCAGCACAGTAATTTGCTTGATTAATAAATATCTCTCTTGGTTCCTCCCTCTTAAACCCCAGAGGTATGCGATGAGACATAATCCACTATTTATGGAGAATTAATGTGTTGCCTCGATTGACATTAAGCAGTAGGCCAAAGACCATTAGGACAAATTAAAACTCATTAATATACCAAAATAACGCAATAGTAGGATATTGAACTTATCCTATTGAAAATCACTTTAAAATCTTGATTAGCCCTTAAAGTAACTTCTAAATGAAATACATCTCTCTTATTCATAATCTCTGAGTCAACTGAAGAAGTCAAACTATGACCAAAAATGACAAAGGGAACAGAACAAAACCTTCAAGACCTTAGACATCACTCCAGTGGCCTGTGGTGTGGACGAAGCCATTCTGATCGTGGTAACCAGTGTACTCAAGATTTCTTTTCCCCCAAGAGGTCATGCCAGTACGACGTCATCTGAAAGGCTTTGCTCTTCCTTGGGATACTTTCTATATTTCGTTTCATATCTAATCTATCTTGTATTTCATGCAGCTCAAACAGAAATGTTTCCTGAGCATTGACTATCACAGCCCTCTGTGATGGTAGAAAAGAAAGAAAGAAGACACAACCTGCTTTTCCAGGACTCTGGAGGAAAAAGATGGGACAGACCTTGGTAAAAGCAATATGAGTACACACAATAAATATCTACCAATCATGGTTGGAAATTAGGGTTATGGCAGTTGAAGGATCTAGGTTTAAATTCCAGCTTCACCAGTCACCACTTTGAGCAGGTTTTAACAACCCTCTTCAGGTCTCAGTTTTCCCTTCTGAAAAAAACAGAGTAATAATAATATTCACCTGAAAAAATGTTGGTGAAGAGTTAGTAGGATAGGGAACACAAAATGCCCAGCACATAAAAGGATCTCAACAAATGTTAACTACTATTATTATCATTAAAAATATCATTTTTGTGGGCAGGGCTACAGCTCAGTGGTAGAGCGCCTGCCTCGCACATGTGAGGCACTTGGCTCTATCCTCAGCACCACATAAAAATAAATAAATAAAGATATTGTGTCTGTCTACAATTAAAAATATATATATATTTTTTAAAATTATCATTTTTTGTTTTTACTGTTATTACTAGTAAGGCTACCACCATGCTACTCTCATCTGTTTTTAGCCCCATACCTTAGAGATAAGGAGTCTCCCAGGCTGCATGGAATGGTCCAGTCCAGATGGAAACACTCATCTCAGGCAGGGAGGCAATGAGGCTCACGATCTGTCAAATGTCAGAGAAGAGGATTTCAGATAAAGGAGATGGCTACAGAGGGAAGTCAGCCTGGCCTGGATGAAGCAGATAAATAAGTTTGCTCTAGATAGCTTCCTGAGCTCAGGAAGAGCACATGCTCACGGGTCATATGATGAGCTGGAAAGTGCCTTAGAAACACTTGAGTTGCTATAAAAAAATGCAGCTTTTGAATAGTCACAAAAATCCTATGCCTTCCTCTTGTGTTATTTGAAAATTTGAAATAAATTTAGTATCAAGAAGAAAAAAAAGTTGGATGCAATGGTAACTTGGAAAGAAATTTTATTTAGATCTAGAAAGATACATATTTCTTCCTTTGATCATGTGGCAACAATGTGAGCACTGAATCTGCTTGCTCACCACTGGCTTTTCCTTCTAAAGGGTGGGGAAAGCAGAGCCCAAGCAGGTTACTCTCAATATTAAGCTTACCTGATGCTTAATTTTCAATAAGACCCTTTTAGCCTGACTGTGATATGCCCCAGGAATGATTAGGACTTTGCTTATTCCAAACCCTTAAATTTACGGAAAAAGAAATGAGACTCAAGTGACTTTTTCTTAACCACACAGCTAATTAGTGAAGGAAGGAAACAGGAATCCTGCTGATGGAGAGAAGACACAGAGGAGGAGGGTAAAGAAATGACAGCGTGGCCTGAAATTACTTGCTGTGGGAAGTCAAATGATGTGGGCAATTACTTAGATTTTAGCGAGGATGGGGGAAAAACAAGTTTTCAGGAGAAGCATTTGTCCTGCTGCATACAGAGCTTAAGAAACTAACCATGTCAGATTCCTTCTCTGCATCTTTTGCTAACAGAACCTAAAATACCAACAAAATATAGTTGAAGTTAATTTTTAATTGTAATTTTTATTTGAAGAATTATTCTATTTAAATCAGTATTTTAACCCATTTTAGGAATGAAGTTGAAACAAGGTGGTTTTCTCTTTTTTTCTAATAAAAAATTGTATTTACTTAGAAGCATTCAGAATGTCACCAAAAGCTTATATAAATATATATATATATTGCAATTGCAGAGTGGTATTCAGTTAACAGAACAACAACTATTTCATGTAAGCCACATTGGAGACAACTAAAGATGAAAACTATCATCCCCATATTTAACTAATTTGTGCTGTGCACCAACAAGAACCTGCTTTAAATTTCCAACCAGTTTACAACCCCCATACTGTACCAGGCAAGGTTAGTGGCTATTGAAAATACCACCAGGAGAGGGCTATCTAAAGACACATTCGGTAGTGTGTTAACTAACCAAAAAAAAAGACACTGTACAATTTAAAAACAAACCTTACATAGCTTTACATACTATTATTTTTTTTCTTTTAAAGGAGTGAGTTGTGTACAGTGGGGTAAATATTTTTTGGACAAGAAAAAAAACTGTGCTAGAACCAACTTATTCATCTTTTCCTTCTTTATCTTCCTCCTCCTCTTCCTCCTCATCTTTTTCTTCCTCGTCTTCCTCCCCTTCCTTCTTTTTCTTGCTTTTTTCAGCCTGGAAACTCCTTTTTTTTTTTGCTGCTGCATCAGGTTTTCATTTAGCTTGGTAGGCAGCAAAATCCTTTTTGTATTTTTCCTTCAGCTTAGCAGCTTTCTTTTTATAAGGCTGCTTGTCACCTGAGGCAGTGTGATTCCACATCTCTCCCAGTTTCAGCATCGCCAATGAATAGGCCAGGATGTTCTCCTTTGATTTGGGGGCGATACTCAGAAGAAGAAGGCCAGGGGAGGCCTCTTGGGTACACTGGGATCCTTAAACTTCTTTCCCTTTAGGAGGAATGTGGGTTTGCATTTCTCTTCCATAATGGTCCGTGTTTACCTCTGCCATCTTCAAATTTTCCTTTCTCCTTAGCAGTTATGGTCTTCCACCTCTCTGAACATTTCTTAGAAAACTCTGAGAAGATGACTGAAGCATCTCAGTGCTTTTTCTTGTGCTCCTCCCGCCAGTTTGCACAGAGAATGAATAGGATGACTTGCCTCTTGGCTTCTTCCAGTCTCCTTTGCCGATAGTTAGCTATTTTTCCTCAGCCAGGCACAGGGTTGCCCAGTGCCCATCTGGCTCTCACTTGCTCAGGCACTGTCTCTATGGAGCTCAATGTACTGTCAACAAGGTGGTTTTGCTTCAGGGATTATAAGAAACTTGAGGACACTATGACTTTATTTTATATATATATATATATATATATATATATATATATATATATATATATATATATAAATTTTTTTTCCTACATCTTTAAAAGGGATCAGGGCAGAAGGTTACACATTGAGCAGTCATGAGCTTGGAGTCTTTGGGATGTTCCCCAAGTCAAAAGTTTTCAACCTGCTTCTCTTAGGGATGTCCTCTTGCCCTGGAAAGCCACCCCCCTCAGGTTTCAACTCAAGGTGCTGGTGCCAGGACATTTTTTTTTCAGGCAGAGTGCTCATACTATCACCTTGCTTCTTCCAGTACAGCTGTGTATATATTGATCTATGACAGACCTGTGTTCTTGGTGGATTCTCAGCAAATGTTTGATGATGAACTTGGCCTTCAAGATTCAGCTACTGCCCTTAGATTTCACAGCTTATTCCCAAAAAGGAACTGGATGAAAGGGGAACTTCAAGGTTGGAATTTATTCTGTTTAGCTACTTCCCCTGTTTCGTATCAAAGGCTTTGCCAATGGGAATACTCGTAAAGGGCAACGTCAACACGACCATGTTTGAATTGCCACCTGAAACCAAAGTTAAAAACTCATAATATTGTGCATGTCAACTGGTAAACTGTAATGCTTTTCTAGAGAAGAGATGCCCCTTTTCTCTTGAAGACAAGGGAAATAGGCTGGGTGTGGGGTGAGGGGAGTTTCAGAGTTTCTACATAGGAAGGGGCTAGACTAGAAATCTACCTCCATGAGGGATCTGGGGGACTTCCCTTTTTATCTTTTTTAAATTATCTATATTTAAGATGTATAACATGTTTTGATGTACATATACATAATGAAATGATTACTACAATCAAACATTAACATACCTATCATCTCACATAGTCATCTTTTGTATGCATGTGCTAAAGAGTACCTAAAATCTACTCTCTTTGCCAGTTTCCAGTGTTAAATATAATATTATCAACTATAATCTTCATATTGTGCACTGGATCTTTAGGCTTATTTTTCCTACATACGTGACAATTTGTACCCTTTGACCCCATCCTCCAGTTCCCCCCACTTCTTCTACCTCAGATAACCACTTTTCTACTCTGTTTCTATGTACTCAAGTTTTGTTTTTAGGTGTTTATTTTGTTTTGATTCCACTTATAAGAGAGATTACACAAAATTTCACACAGCCTTTTCCTTTCTGTGTCTGTGGCTTATTTTTCTTAGCATTATGTCCTCTAGATCCTTCCATACTGTCTCAAATAACCGAATTTCCTTTCAAGACTGAATAATATTACACGGCGCACACACACCATAATTTCTTCATCCATTCATCCATTGCCTGACACAGGTTGCTCACATACCTTGACTGTGTAAATAAGGCTGTGATGAACATAGGAGCATAGATATTTCTACAAGGTGCTGATTTTATTTCCTTTGGTTATATGCCCAGAAGAGGGATTGCTGACTCAGATAGTTCTTTTTTAAATATCTTTATGCACCTCCACACTATCTTCTATGATGGCTGCACCAATCTACTTGGCCATTAATAGTATACAAAGGTTCCCTTTTCCCCTTATCTTAGCCAACATTTGTCTTTGCTTTTCTTTTTTTTATTAGCCATTTTAACAGGTACAAGGTGATATCTCATAATTTAGATTTGCATTTCCCTGGTGATTGGTGATGTTGAGTGCATTTTCACATACTTGTTAGAAGGGAATTTTCTTGCAGCTGTGTTTATAAACACACTCCTTTTGTGTTGATGTGCCTATTGGGCAGCTCCTTGGATTTTTATCAGAAAAGCAATGTCAATTTCAGCTGAGAGGAGCTAATGGAGATGGAGAAGGTTAAACCCTTCCATCCAGGCAACCAACTGGCCTCCCCACTGGAGACTGAACAAAGAGTTGAAAGGCCAGAGGGAGTCCATCTCTGGGAAATGATAAAAAATTGAGGCCTATGAGTTTGTTCTGAATTCTTAAGGTGTTTTGGCCCTGGATGCTTCCAAACACAGGCTTTTAAGTAATTCTGATCCTCAGAGTGATCCAAGCAAGTCATTCCACATTCACCCTCAATTTTTTACCTTATTCATATCTTATGTTGAGTTTCAAAGAAAATTGATAATAACGAATTGCTGTTTTGAGGAGATAATACCACAATGATACAAAATTCAAGAGTTATACTAGAAAATACAGTGAGATATAATCTGCTTTACACCTATATCTTCCAGGTATCTAACAAGAGTTAGTTTCTTAAGTAATATCCAAAGCTGTTACATGCATATGCAAGTATAGGTGTGCATGTATTTTATGTAAAATTTATATCTGACATATGTGGGAGAGTGATTTTTAAACTTTTTTATTGTGATCCACAAAGAAGAATGAACTTTCTCTTCTATTTCACTGATGTGGCCCTCCATGCACCAGTACCCTAGTGCAGGAACAATTTAGCTTATGTCCATCAGAACCTTCGTGTTTCACATTACCATTCTGATTCAAGATTTTTCCTGGCTATTCTTGCTCTTTTATTTTTCTATACAAACTTTAGAATCAGCTTCTCTAAACATGTGCTTTTTCTTGGCTTACATCTATAAAGGCTGGCTATTGATTTTCATTTCTAGCCACACTGCTCAATTCTCTTGCTCATTAAGGTTGACAGTGATCTTTCAATTAATTTTCTTGAGTTTTTTAGGCACAGAGTTACATTATTTGCAAATATGATTATTCTATCTCCTCCTTTCCCACTTGCACATCTCATATTTCTTCCTTTTGTGTAAAAAGTTGACCAGTGCCTCAAGACCAATGGTCAATAATGTGGTGATAGAGGCATTCTTTTCCTAA